TTTACCTCTTGTTTTACTGGTGAGTTAAATCACTGATGATTATAATTTTTCACATTGTTTTTTTGATAAAAATGATATATACTAATCCATAAAATGACTTTGGAAACTCTTTTCTATGTCTTTGGGAATGTTTTATACGATTTAGTCATATACAATTATAATACAAAATTTGAAGAAATAATAATTGGGTTTTAAATGATATATATTATGGAACGTTGACATTTTAGCCAAATTATTTTATATTTATGAGAAATCATACATTATTAAATACTTTAAGGCAAGGCCTGACATGCTATTATCCATATCTGAATATGATTTATGATCTTTTCCTAGAAATAAATTTTTTTAAGACGTACTCGTTATTTTAATTATATACTCTTTATGCATGTCTTCACACTGTCATTAAAAGGTTAAGTGGTTGCATCAAACACTGTGATCTTTAAACTGTAAAATATTAATATATTATCTTTCAGAAAAGGAAAAAATACTTCTGAAATAAACAATCAAAATAAATAAACAGGTTTCAAACATTGCAATAAACAGTTCAAATTGATGTAATACTGCTGTTGTTTACTAATGGACTAATTATGCAGAATTTCACAATTAAGACAATTTGGAAAAAATTCTCAAGCAAAACCACCAATGATATGTGACCCATCTGACGACACAGCTGGACTAGAGTAATCTTTTTAGGCCATTATGGATAAACTATTTGGACTGGAGTGACGATCAGGATACCTAAGAATTGGTGGATAACCAGCCATATGATGCCTTCTCCTGTTTGTGATATTTGGTCCAGTAACAGAGAATACTGTTAAGGGCAAGACTAAGGGAAATCTGAACATGTTAAGAAGGTAGATGGGGAAAGAAAGGTGGGTAGAAACTTGGGCAAAGGCCATGAGGGGCTGAGGAATCAGCTTGAATATAAAATGAGTGAGGTCTTTTGCTCAGTGCAGGGAACAGGAGATAGTGAGTAGCAGACAAATGGAGTTCATCTCCTGGGTGGGTACTGAGAAGTGTTGGAGCAAAAGCAATGTCTAAGCATTATCATCTCTCAGTGCTTATGTGCTCTGAGATGATGGGGAAAGGGTGTGTGTGTGTATTGGGGGGGGCTGGGTGGGTGTGCGCACACGCGCGCGCACACACACACACACACACACACAAGCATATGGCATCTTCATGTTTGCATCCTGAAATGAATTTAAGGCTCTTGTAAGGTGATAAGGAGAATGGTAGTGAAAAATAAGCTGTCTTTCCCAATATTCTTTTTAACACAAAATAAGAATCTGGTTTGGGAACCTAACAATGTTGACAACGGAGCAGTAGATGTACTAACATCAACTTCTTACATTTTGGGTTGAGTTTCTCAACTGAGTATGGTGCATGAGTTCATAAAGAGTGAGCTTGACAATTAACGATTATAGGCTGTTTTTGTTTTTATAGAAATAAATAACAATCTAATTTATTTATTGTATCCTCTTATTTCAGATTTTCTTACCAGCACAAAGAAGTACCAAATACAAAACAAATATCAATATTATTTATACAAAACATATATTCCATGATCAATACCCATGGTAGTTGTATACAAGAAATCAAGACATAGTACATTGATGTCAAAGAAATTTAAAATTGCAAATTAGCAAGGATATAAGTTTAGGAACTGTGGTGCAACTTCTCCAAATTATGATCTTTTCATTTGTTTTCTATGTATCTGAAAGTTAAATAATGAATAAGGTAGACTAAAGAAGAATTAATGCCTTTCAATTGCAATGTTAAGAGTATTGGAAATATGAACCGCCAAAGAACAAGCAAGTCTATCTTGAAAAAAGTGCAACAAGAGCATTCCTTAGAGACAAAGGTGGTCTAAATTTGTTATATTTATTCTGGGCCTAGTTTTAGGAGGAACCAGTCCTTGGATAATGCAGTATTAGATAAAGTTGGACTTTTTAGCCACTGCCCTAACTCCCTCTAATCTCCAGCTACCTTAACTTCAGGCATTGTTTGGTCTTACAAATCATCAATATCTGTGGGAGTAGAATAAGAGAGTTGCTTCCCACAGTGAACAGCAAGACTTAAGGGAGACTGGAACAAGACCTTGGCAGAAGGAAGACCCAGGTGGCCAGGCCCTGGTAATGATGGTGGAGAGAATGTCACACTGCTGTGGAGAAACTGTGGCAAGTTTTAACCAGAGGAGTCCTGAGAGAAAGATGAAAGATTTTTTATATTCTTGCTGGATGGCTGCTGAATTGAAACTGGAACCAGGATTAACTGAGGAAGAGTGCCTTCAGACTGCTGGGCTAAAACGTAGACTTGAATTGGGTGTTAATCTTTGCCTCCTCCACTCTCTGACTTGTTTCCCTAAGAAATCACACTTTTGGCACCACAGTCTGTGAGTTAGCAATGAGTAAACTAACCTGTTTCTTCTAGTGTGACTCTAGTGGCACCATATGGCTGCCCTATGGATTCTTCATTTGCTTTCTGCTCTGGGAGAGTGAGGGCCTGTGCTATTCACTCCCTCTGGCCCTTTCAGAGAGAAATTCAAAGCCCTGAACCCTTATGTCCCATTTTCTGCTCTGTGGACAGAGAAAGATATCATGCTGGAAAAGGCAGATTGGTAAAAGACAGGATGACCCTTAAGGAAATAGATAACATGATGACTGCCACACTGCCCTAGAACATGACAAAGATAGTGAGGGTGGTGTAGAATAGGGCAAGGTTCAGATTGTTGTTCATGGCGTCTCTATCAGTCAGAGTTAACTCAAAGCCACCCAATAACAACAAAAGCCAAAGAAGACAAATCTGTCTTGAAGTAAGGATAACCACGGTGCTTTCCAGTGAAACTTTATTTCCCATTCTTTGAGCATGTTGTCAGGAGGGGCCAGTCCTTGGAAATAGATATCTTGCTAGAAAAGTTAGAGGGTTAGAAAAAGAGGGGAAGACTCTCAATTGCATTGGAGACTATGGGAAAGGCTCAGGATAGGGCAAAGTTCTAATGTCCATAAGGTTGTTAGTAGTCAATTCAATAGCACTTAACAATAACAACATGGGAAACAACCAGCTTTTCCTGTTTAATTATGTAATTTTTTAAAAATTAATAAAATATATGGCACAAAAATTTTTAGGCTAAAAATGAGATATTTTTTAAAACGTCTTTATAATCTTTGTTCTTATAGCGTAGTATGAAAAGAGTTATACTGCTAACAAGAGACCCCACTTCTCTGACCATTCAAATCCAACAGCATTTCTGCAGAAAAAGATGAACAATCAACTTTTAAGTAATTTACAGGACAGAAAATCCAATGGAAAAGCAGGTACAAGTTCCAAAAGAAGGGCAATAAGATATTTTTATATCATATAAAATAAAATTGTTCTTTCAGTGACATTGCCCTTCACATAGTTACTAGGATGCTGTACTTTTGAAAAGAATACTCTGAGGTAATAATAACATAATTAAATTACATTTGTAGTCTAATTTTTTTTTCAGATTAGAAATAATGTTAAGCATGATTTGTGATGGTCTGGAATACTAGAAATACTGTATTTCTGGAGATATTCTAAAACACATTTTTCTGTCTGCCTTATTTCCTTTCATTTTTATGAAAATTACTATGAAATAATAAAAATTTTAAAAATATTTAGGATAATAAAAAGAGCTCTACCTCAAAGCTATGGAATAGAAAACAGTGCCAGCAAATGTACATGAGGAAAGAATGGATTTAAATGGGAAAAATATATACCTATATGAGATACTCTAGTGTCCTAGTCGCAAGAGCTGAACTGCAGTCCCAAAGGCCTGTGGTTTGAGGCCACTAGGGAACTCTGGTGGCCTAGTAACAAGAAAGCGGTGCTGCAATCCTGAAGGCACACAGTTCGAGGTCATCAGCTGCTCTTCAGGAGAAAAATGTGTAATCTCCTTTCGTGGGATTAACTACCTCTGAAAATCCACTGGAGGGTCAGCTATGGTCGGTCTGACTCGACAGTACATGACAATAACAACAACAGCTACTCTGAAGGAGAAAGATGGACAATCTCCTTCTGTGTGATTTACTGCCTCTGAAAACTTGCCAGAGGGTCAGATATAGGTCAGTCTGACTCTATGGTACACAACAACAACAACATATGCTTATGCATATTTAGATACATCTTCCTATATTTACACTATCAAGGACCTTTGACAATTATTGAAGGTAAAAATTGAAGAAGTAAGAATCTCTAGTTTTTGTGTGATTTTTGAAAAGTACTATTGTTGTTGTTGTTGTTATGTGCCATCAAGTTGAGTATGACCCATAGTGACCCTATAAACAACAGAACTGAACTCTGTCCTATCCCGTGCCATCCTCACACTTCCTGACACCTTAGAGCTCATTGCGCCAGTCACCATGTCCAATCCACCTGATCAAGGATCTTCCTCTCCTTTGTTGACCTTCAACCTTTCTGAGCATCATATCCTTCACCAAGGAATAGGCCCTCCTAGCAACATGCCCAAAACATGAGGTGAAGCATCATCATCTTTGTCTCCAAAGAACACTCTGGCTGCATCCTTTTCAAGACATATTTGTTTGTTCTTTTGGCCATTCATGGGATATTCAGGACTCATCTCCACACCACAGCTCAAAGGCATCAATTCTTCTTCTGTCATTCTTACTCATTGTCCAGCTCTCAGAATCATAACAAGTAATCAGAAAGACCATGGCCTGTGTCAGACACACTTTAGTACTCAAACTGATCATTACAACTCATTAATTTGGAGAGATATTTAACTGCAGACTTTCCCATAGTAATAAGTCTCCTTATTTTCTGACTGCTGGTATCAAGGGTTAATTGTAGATCTAAGTAAGATGATTTTGTTAACCATGTCAGTCTTTTTTTCTCTATCATAATGTTTCCAATTGGCCCACTGGTAAGAATCTTTGTCTTCCCAACATTGAGATGCAATCCATATTACAGGCTGGAAATTGTTCTTCACCACACATATTTGTGGTAGTCCTTTTATTTCTTCATTTGCCTGAGAAAAATGTAGTCTTTCTTACCATATCCATGAAGGCTCTCTTGACTTGTTGATTTCTAAGGCTATAAATAAAAGGGTTCAGCATTGGGGCTACTGAGGTGTTTAGTACAGCTACTCCCTTGCTCAAAGACACTCTGTCTTTTGCTGATGGATTAATGTACATGAAAATGCAGCTGCCATAAGAGATTGATATAACAATCATATGGGAAGAACATGTGGAAAAGGCTTTTGTCCTCTGACTAGTAGAAGGAATTCTCAAAATTGTCCTGATGATGTTTATGTAGGACAGAATTATTAATGCTAAAGTGAATAGTAGAGCAAATATAGCGCAGGAAAATCCTGTTAGCTCTAGGAATTTTGTGTCTGAGCAAGAAAGGTGTAGTAAGGGGAAATAATCACAAACAAAATGTTCAATAACATTGGACTTACAATAATTCAGTTTTATGAATAGCATAACCAATGGGAATATGATTAAAAATGAAGCTAGCCAGGAAGTGAAGACAAGCAACGTGCAGACTTGATGACTCATGATGGTAGTGTAATGCAAGGGTTTGCAGATGGCCACATAACGGTCATAGGACATGGCAGTCAGAAGGTTAAACTCTGTAACTCCCAGGAGAATAAAGAAAAATAACTGAGTCATGCAATCATTAAAAGAAATCACCTTATCTCCTGTAATAATGGTGCTCAGGAACTTGGGTATACTGACAGATGTAAATGAAATTTCTAATATAGAGAAATTTCTGAGAAAGAAATACATGGGGGTCTGAAGGTGAGAATTCAGGAGGGTCAGGATGATAAGGGTGAGGTTCCCAGTGATACTGAGCAGGTAGGTGAAGAATAGAAAGATAAAGATTATAACTTGAAGCTTTGGGTCATCTGATAATCCCGAGAGGACAAACTCTGTTGCTTCTGTATAATTTCTCATTTTTTTAAAATAATCTCTTACAAAATCTATAGGAGAAAATAGAAAAGAATCACCTGAGATCCAGTGTGAAAAACAATGTATACGAAATTTATGAACTTTTTAAGTAAACCAGTATAAAATTAAAAAAGCAAAATAAATAAAAGAGAACCGCCCGAAAACAAACAAATGAAAGTGCCTATAAAGAATGGACTTAACTTTAGAAACAGATATGTTATTTATGTACATGATTTGGGAGGATCTTTTATATAATTTAATAACAACATATGTTTTAAAATTTTACACGTATGCCAGGAATTATGATTTAATCTAATTTGTAGTTACTGGTCAGAAGCTGAGGTTTGAAGATTTTAAAAAGTCTTTCTAAACCACAGGTGCTGAATGAATAACACAGATATTCTCACCTAAGTCTGCTTTTGAGGGGTAAGTTTCCATATAATTGTTTATATATATTTATTTCATTTACATTATATTTTACACAGTGGTTCATTTTTATACAATCATTCTTATATATCATTTGATTCACATATATTGCATTTCATAAGATAATTTCTATATATTGTGTTTTATATAATTAATCAGTACCTATCTATACTTTTATAACCCTGTCTTATCAAGTTCCCATGGCACCTTTTCTTTTCTTCACACATATTCCATCCACTCACTAATCTCTGCTGTAACTCAGGTCTATTTAATGTTTAATTATAATAAAATAAAAAAATACTACTTATTACTTATTGTTGAGAACTGTGGTGACCTCGATGTTGTGTGCTATTGCATCTAAATCAACCCTTCATTGGGTTTTCTGAACATATAAATTGTACAGGAAATTGCCCTACCTTTTCTCTCAGTGCAGCTGGTGGATTAAAAAAACATACCTGCTAAATCTGTGGTTCTCCCTGCAATTGTGTAGTGGTTAGTATTCTGTGTCGTGCCCACAAATACCTTGGTTCTAATCCAAGTCATGGGAATCTCTGGTCTAGTGGCCTGATGGTAAGGAACTGTGCTGTTCTACTTCCTAATTTAATATTATTTAGAAACATAAACCACAAAGACCAAATTTGTCAAGGGAAGGGCCAGTAGTGAGGACTACCCCTAAATTTGAAAGCTATTTTATAATCATATTTACGGTTAAACACCAAATTAATAAATACCCTCTCTTGCTTACAGTTGCTTTTTCTAATATCCTACTTGGGTTTGATACTGGTTTTGACTCCACAGATACAGTTCATGTCACAATCATCCTTAGCTATTGAAAAGTATAAGTATGAGATTGACTGTTTCTTGGGTTAAAGAAAAAACTTTAATAAATATTTAAAATAAATCATCAACCTGAACAGAAAAAGGGTTTATCAATATTTTTCTATCTATCTGTTTTTAGGGAGCTCTTGTGGCCTCATAGTAAGGAGCTGTGCTGCATTCTTAAAGGATGAAGTTCAAATTCAACAGCAGCTCTGAAGAAAGATGGGAAATACTCTCTTGTGTGATTAAACTGCTTCTGAAAACCCACCATAAGATCAGCTATGAGTTGGTACACAACAACAGCATTTATCTTTGCAATTCTCTCTCTAGAGACAGATTGTTTTCACATCAATTGACTCATCAGCACAGAACAACATAATATATATATGTAATACTGTATATTTCATTATATTGTATATTTCACACCAATATTACCTATTTGTGGGAGAAAGATGAGCATTCTCCTCCCATGTGATTAACTGCTTCTAAAAACTCACTGGAGGTTTAGCTATAGATTGGTTCCATTTGACAGTATTCAACAACAACATTATAGATTATATATCATCTATATCAGCATTCACTTTTATTGAAAGTCTTATTTGACCAATAGCTAGGAGTAATCAATACACTAAAATGAGAAAATCTTTCCATTTTTTTTTCTTCTTCAGTACCAATAGTACCAATATATTTTAAAGCAAAGCTATACGTTCCTTCTGTAAATTAAACTTGTTCATTGTCATCTCATTCACTTACATACTCATTAAATAGTAAAGCTTAATTATAATATACTTAATGAAGTTTCTCTAATTTTTGTTTTATCTTTTGTATTTGACTTAAAAATCTATGTCTAAGATTCTTCATTTCTTAGTATATTATGCATAATAATACTTTAAACTTTCTCATGTTTATTTTCTCCACACTTAATTCCCTAAGCTTTTTGCATTAATTTCACTGATTTGAAAGCAGTTGATTTTCTAATTGAGCAAGAACTACAGCTGGCATGGATAGTGGTCAGTGGCACTGAAAAAGCACTGAAAGATTCAAATGAAAATAACCATTCCCTTTTGCTATTCCTCAGGCATAGGAGAAAGCAGAGAGACCTACAAAGATCACAAGGAAGGTGAAGCTAAGTTACAGATTGTATAAATATATTTATGACAATTCTAACGTGTCATAAATGAACATTATGATACATATTTATAAACATAAAAGTCATTATTTTTAAAAATTATCCATAATTTAGTAGCATGTGATTCTCTGAGCCTTAAGTCATTTTAATGATAGATATAGGTAGAACTCTGTTGGCCTAGTGTATAGAAAGTTAGGCCAAAGGTGGGTGATTTTAATCTGCAGCCCTCAGGCCTAGTTTTAATTGTTTTGATCAAAAATTCTTCTATGTGATATAGCACTGGTTTGTCCATTTGCTGCTGTGCAGATGTAACTCGTGTTTGCTGTGATGCTAAACACTGTGACACTGATGTGTCAAATGTGATAATGGTTACCTATTGAGGACAGCATTTGGTGGAGCTCTACAAATAAAACAAGCTTGGAAGCAAGAGTGGCATCCACTTCCGACATAGCTTGGCTCCAGAAACTATGAACTTGGAGAAATGATGAAAGTTATACAGGTGTTCAGATCTTTCGTTCATAGGGTTGCTGTAAGTTGTCTACAACTCAACGGCATTTAACAACAAAACAACAGCAATGAAGAATATCTTCAAGATTCTAAATCACTATTTCATGCTTTCTTTTCTAATTCACCTATGCTTTTTAGAAATCACATGTAAGTCATGATGTTGTTATTCTGTACCATGGAGTCTGAACTAACCCATTTCTCACCCTCCAGCAGGTTTTTAGAGGCAGTAAATCCTCTAAAATTTTCCAAGAGGGGATTCTCATCTTTCTCCCATGGAACTTCTGTACTTTTAATAAACTATAGTTTTTAAGCCTACCTCAGAAAATTTCTTCGTGTTTCAGGTGTGTGGGTCTTTGAAAGTGAAATTTAATTAATTCAGTAAGTTAATACTTGCCGTGAAGTTATGAAATAACTGGATTTTATGTGCAGGAAAATTTGAGAAATTTCTACTACTCAGTAGATAAATTGAAAGTATGACCTCCTTGAGGAAAAAAGAAATATGAATTCTTTTTTTCAGCTAAAACTCTTAAGAAGTAAAAAGTGAAATTGTGAGCATTTGTACAGTCAAAGCAATAGGGCTTTTAATATTTGCACATAATTTTCCAAATCTTTCTTATCTATCTTTCTTTTTTACACACACACACACACACACACACGTACAATTAATTTGTCAGAGTAGAGAACTGAGTCCAGTTTAATACTATATCGTGTGTGTATATATATGTGTGTGTGCGTGCATACCTATACATAGGAGTTCTGATAGTCTGGAAATATGGAGTTACACTGCCAACCCAAAGGTAGGCAATTTCAACCCACCAACTGCCATGTAGGAGGATCAGCTATGTGTTAGTTCTGACTTTTGGCTTAAGGATACATAACAGAATTCTGTTATTATTTATTTTATTTGTGTTTGTGTGAATAACATCTAATACTATATGAATAATTCATCATGAGTTATTCCAAAAGGTCATATAAAAAGAACCATTTAAAAATAGAACAATTACTCTAGAATAATTCTATTAATAACTTTCAAATTCTACTTCTGATAGTCCTCTGATAAAAAGTGCATTCCAATTAATAAAACATGCATGAATTTTATTTTCTTCCAATTAATAAAGTATGCGTGAATTTGAATTCCAAAACTAATATGACATTACCATCAGTTAAAATAATAACAATTAGGGAAAACAATTACTATCTAAATTATGTTTAAAATCGCTACATCTTATAATACAAATTTAATTTAAGGGCTTATTCTTTTATTGATTTGTTATTTATCTTTAAATATATTTTAATTTAAATAGAAAAGAAGTTTTAAAGAAATTTAACATTAGGACTTACTAACAAGTGATAATTTATGAGATTGCTAATTTTTAAGTCTTTTTTTAATTATTAAATTTTATTAGTTTTAATGAATATTTACAGAGATTTTGGGTTCTCATTCATTCATTGTTGCACTAATTTCTAGGTCTTTTAGGTTTATGTCTCTTATTTAAAGAAAAAGAAATTAAAAATTCTGCTAAGCACATTACACTATTGTAATTTTGGACAAATTACTTAATCTCTCAGACTTTCAGGTTTGTGGGTTTTTTTCTAATTTGTTTGCTGTTTAATGAGAAAAATTTTACAGAAAATTTTGTGAGCTTTAACATAAATAAAAATAACATGGTAACAATTAATGTATATTATGTACTTGTATACAGTAGTTATTGTCAATTTTAATATTCTTAAAGTAAGAAAAAATAAAAAGAGCAGTATTTGGAGTAGAAAGGAAGATGTAGAATAACATTTACCATTTTAAGGTCACTTATTTAAGAAAGAATGCTAAAGCTTTATAGGCTTTTCATATTCTAAAATCCTAGAACAAATTATTGGATAAATTGATAAAAAAAATAAGTAAGGTAACGTAAATAACATCACTCAGGTACAAGTTGTACAAGTGATTTCTAACTGATACTGTATGTGCTATCAAGTCAGAACTAACATATTGACCCTCCAGTGTTTTTTCAGAGGCAGTTAAGTCACAAAGGAGGAGATTGCCGGTCTTTCTCCTGTGGTGCAGCTGGCACGTTTGAACAACATGTTTTTGATTTTTCAGCACAATTTACTGATATCTAAAATGAGA